TGCACCCTCAGCACCTGATTGGGGGCAAACCAGAGAATTTGTTGAACCATGGCATTGTCTAGTAGTATTACCAACACTTCCACTGTTTGTTGGGCTCTTAGAAAACATTGAGGGGTAAATTAGAGTTAAAAAACAGCATAGAACATTGAGAGGCAGAACTGATGGTTGTAAACAAACTTAATGGGGCCATGGGAAACTTGGCCACAGTCATGGTAAATGGACTAACTAAACTCATGCCGGACTACAGATGTTGCCAGACCAAAGAGTGCTGAACTAGAGAGGTTCAATCTGTAGTAGCCTGGAGGATCTCCAGCTGGATGACTCTGAAAAGAGAAGTGTTGGTCTCCGAGAAATTAGAAAAGTCCTTCCCCTGTTTCCCTTCTCCTTCCCATACAAATTCTCTTCCCTCCAACTCCCCCAGTCCCCTAACAGATATTTAAAATACGTGCTTTTACTTACTATAGGATTAAGTTAGAATTTTTGAGCCCTCTCTTCCCACTCCTCTTTTTGTGTCAAACCTGCCACCTCCCTGGTGTGCTAATACATGTTACAGCTGGCACAGTTTTGCGATCGTGTAAATAACTGAGACTGCCACTTTCTTGTAGGGGAGAAGCTAGTCTCCTTATTTAAAATGTTGCAAATTTGTTGTTGGCTTATCCTGCTTTGTTAACCTTTGCTGCACTTTCTGGGACCCAGGTGTATGACATCTGGATTTGGTGATCTGAAGGTGGTGAAACTACAAATAATGTGTTAGGGACTAGGGAAAGCATGTTTTACTTAGGGGAGGGATGTGCTTTTTGATGATGTAATAAGGCAAGGTGAAATCTAAAAACTAGTTGACAGGAAGTGTTTGGGCACATGTATGAAGAATAGCAGGAGGTTTAGATTGGGGAGGAAGAAGTTGGGTGGATTTACAGAGTGGTCAGAGCTCACTGAAGTAAGATTGTCAGCAGCTGGAAATGTACTTTGCTTTGGTGATGAGCTGCAGGCATGGGGGAAAGTGCTCTATCTAGAAAGGCTGATTCAATGGTGGTAATAAAGATTCTCAGAAATCTAACACCCAATGAACTTGACACATTGCTGTATTTCTCTTCATCTTGGTGTAGAAATTGTCTCAACTCCTTAAAAATGTCAAGGATCTTACGTAAATAACCTCAAAGTGCAATACATTTCTCATTATATAGTATCCTAACTTTTTTAGAATTTCCATCACCTACCTTCTTCCGTTCCTCCACTTGTATCTGATGCTCTACTTGAAGGCCTGAATAGAAAAGGGAGAGCTTATAAAGAAACAGTAGATATATTATGTCAGCTGCTGTATATGGCAATGGTTTAGAGTTCTTTGCTATTTCTCCAGTTGTATACCTTTAGACCACAGATGGAATCTTTCACAGCTATAGCAACATTTTCAATTCAGATTCTGATAAGCTTCAATCACAAAACCAATGTTTTCACCATTTAAATTTTTAATATAATTCATTTCCATTCTTGTTTCTATTCTAAATTCTGATCTGTTTTGCATGAAAAGTTTCCTTCCAAAAAACAATCTGAGTAGGTGAATTAATTTAAAGAACAATTGAATAATACACACGAAACGGTTCATAGTTTATACAGGCATATTCACCAACAGATGTACTTAATATATTGCACACTGAAGATTCCAGACTCATCTCTGATAGTAAAAGACATCTCTGCCCCAACGCCACATTTATTTATTACTGATTACTTTGAGCAATGATGCGTATAAAACAACATAATCCTTTGCTCCAAGTAAATGATCAATTATTATGGGCTTGGAGTTTTGAAATAGGAACATGTTCAACTTCAAATAAGTCTAAGTTTATAGAACTTCATTTAGTACTTTTCAAAACAAGCAAAAGTTGCAGAACCTATTAAGCTATTTTTTTTAAACTGCTTGCTTATGAAAACATGTTTTCTCCATCTTAATTAGCATGGAGTGAGCCAAATTCAAACTAAATGTTTTGGGGAAGTTGTGAAATGCCTGACTAATTCAGTTCTTGTTACACACTATTTTAGACCCCAGTCCTGCAAATTCTTGGGCTTTTCATCTGTGACCAGGGTGACTTGAATGGAGCAATCCAAGTGCATAATTTTAAGCACATTCATAAAGGTTTACAGGTCTGAGTTACTGTTTCTAATTGATATCAGAATCAGTCTGAGACAATATTTCAATACTTCTATGTTTGACAAGATTTCTGCAAGTCTAGAAGCAGAGAAGTACCTGTAATCAGGAGAGAGAGATTATTTTAAGGTTTTCAGACATCAGCAGTTCTAGGTAAGCATGAGAAAATCATTCAAAATTTGAATACTTCTGTGAACATGAACTCCTAACTTAGACATGCATCTAACGAAGTGGGTCTTTGCCCACGAAAGCTTATGCTCCAACACTTCAGTTAGTCTATAAGGTGCCACAGGACTCCTTACCGCTTTTCCTAATCTTTTGAGTGTAACTGATGCTACCAAAATTAAAGCAGACTTTACCTGAACTTGTTAATTTCCTCCCTAGGTTCTGTCCAAGGGGCATGAGAAGGCTTCATTGTATCATGGAAATGGAAGTTCTTCACTGCATTTTCTTTTGGGGTATTTTGCCGATAATTCAACAAGTCTCTGCTAGTCATTTCTGAGCGAATCAAATTTGATATAAACTCTTTCTCTGCAACAGCAAGAACCACCAGAAAAAAAAACTTTCTTTGAAAGCAGTTGCTTTTTTAAAAAAAAATTGAGGAATGGCAAAATGCATTTAAGACTATATTAAATTAATTGGATAGTTTCTAAAATAAATCTGAATTGTGCATCTTTACGTAAAACTTCATTTTCGTATAGTTCATGAGTGCTAGACTTTTTTTATTTAAAAAGATCTATTCTAATCATTTAATTTTTCAAATTAAAAAAAAAGCTGTAATTGGAGCATTGCCTGTTGCTCTTTGGTTAAGCCTACGAAGTTTCCATTATATATTCAACATTGCCCACCTTCTCTCTACAGTTTTAAAATCATATTTGCCTTCTAACTGCCTGGGTAGAATTTTTCTATAAAAATGTGAATTAAACAGAAGCATAGTTTTTGGATTTATCAGCGTTCAAAAACTACATCACTTGCTATTTTGTTTCTTTAAAACCCATAGTTTACTGACATCTACTTTCTGAGATGTAGGCTGTAGGTACTAAAAGGGCTGGGAGGGTTAGACACACGTGTCTGTTCCTGACACATACATGCACACCATGCACAACATCTTTCCAGTAGTCATTGGGCATCTAGCTCATTCATGCCCCTTTGAGAACTGGAGCTGTATTGCCCTGCACCAAAGCTGATTGATTAAAGCATATTATTAATTTTGAATTTGGAACGTCAACCACTGGCTCTGATGAGTGCAGCATGCTTGCTGCTGACCTAACTTTCTCAAGCTAGATCTTGAAATGTAAATGTAAATACTCAAGGAGGCTCTGTAATTATATTTTCTACCAAAAAGCTTGTGGGATATTATCTGATTAAAATATAGCAATATAGATCACTGTGACAACCACTGTTTATATATTTACAATAGATCTTGTACAAACAGTGGCAGACAGGGTGTCTATGTAAAGGTAATTTGCTGAATATGATTATGCTATTTATGCATGTATCATTTGTGTATGAAAAGTTATGAATATTAGCTATGTACCCATATTTCAAATTATTGGCCCCTCTAGTAAGACACAGGAGTTATTTAGACAGCACATTGTGAAAGGACTGTTGAAGTTGAATGGCCCACCAAGCAATGCTTATCTCACAATGGATCATGGAAGATGCCCATCAGCACCTAATGGACTTTCGAACTAGGGTATAAGTAATGGCTTCTGCTGTGACTCAGCAAAATCAGACTTGATGTATGACTCGCCCATGTGAGATTTTTAGATACTAAAGGCTTGGCAGCAGCATGATTTTTGCCTCAGACTGGAATGCCTCAGAAAACTGTTATGATTTTTTGTTAGCCAGGATGGTGAGACAGAAGTTTACTTTCGTGGCTGGTTTGCTATCTCATGGGAAAATAATCAACAGCATCTGGGGGTATATCTGCCCTGCTTCTCAGTAATTTGTTCTAAATTTGATATTTGGAGTTGCGACCCTATGAATGCATGGCTATAGCTTGTACCTCTGTTTTAGGCCTACTTCTAGCTAGTACTCCTAGCCAAGTTCCCTGAGAAGGCAGCTTCCAGGTGAAATGTCTCTAAAAGCACAAGGAGTCAGGGTTGGCTAAATAAAAATGTTGGATGGTTAGTGTAACTACACATAGGTAGGTAATCATTGTGCTAGCATAATGCATTAAGCAGGTGCTGAAACCAAAGCCAAACAAAAGCATCCCGTACTTGCAAATCGGTCCTTGTAGCAGTATAACATACACATTTTTTCTGTGATTATTCCTTTGAGCGGTGTGTTTCAATGTGTAGTCTTTGAGCAGAATAATTCAATCAAGGCTGCAAAGTCATGCAATCAATGATATCCCAGTAACTAAAATTGCTACCCCAGTCCAACCACAGTTCATCTTTCTGCCCTCATTGTCATGTTTGTAGTCTATTGAATTCATTTCTGTGAGAATTCAAAGGTATTGCATGAGTGTAAGTGAAAGCAGAAATAGCCTTGTGATTAACTAGGAATTCTTGTTTCATATTTATGCCATGATTCAGTTTACCTGTTCAATTTTGTAGCGCTTCCTTACAGAATGCATGCAGCTAAATCAAATGAGGCTGTAAAGAAGTTGTGGCAGAACTAAACAGGAGAAGTAAAACAATGACACAAATAAGACCATTGATCACCTACCCAGCTCCAGACTAGCAATTGGTGAAGAGTGTACCTAGCTGGATCAATTCAGGTAAGATGTTTCAATCTTCCCAAGGCTAAGCTTCCAATCAAAAGACCCTAGTGGGTTAAAGTGCTGCTGGCAGCAAAGGGTTTTTTCTGGGGTGAGCTTGAAGAAGTCTGGTTGGGATGTGTCAGTGAGATGGCTCTGAGTGAGTCCTCTCAGCTAGTGGGAGAAATCCCCAAGCGGGTTAGGGTGGCTCTCCGAAGTAAGAGCAGGGAATTAAGTCTGATAATCCTGAGCCCTGGATAGAGTGGCAAGGTTTAAGGATGGGAATATATATGAAGATCTTTGTTGCTTTATGTCTTTTTCTCTAAGCACTATGTACCTTTCACGCACAAGAAATTATGCTCTATTTTGAAGAAGCTGTGTTTGTCTCATTGCACATGAAGATAAATCTGTGCAGGGTGAATTACTCAGTTGGAAACCAGGGAGCTGTAACCCAAGTCCTGGTCTGAGTGGGTGGCAATATAAAGGCCTGGCACTTGTGGGGATGTATTTGGTGAGACCATGAGAGAGGACAGTAGTGCAGCTAACCGTCTAGCTCCATTATTATTTTTAAAACCCATAAAAGCGCACGTGCATACGCACGCACATGCACACATACATGTTTCACCTTTTATACTTGCCCTTGACAGCCACTCTTGAATCTCTGCAAGGGAGTCTGTCTGTAGAATGTCACGGAGTTTTTCCAAGACCTGCAAGAAGTGCAATACAACTACAGCTGACTGGGGGGTATAAATAATCTCTAGCTTTATAGTAGGGACATCAAACAATTTTTTTAAAAGGTGAGATTTTTTTAAGTTTTGATCAATCATTGGTTTTAATCACACTGTTAATAACAGAATATCAATTTGCAAGTCGACTCAGTCCTATTAGTTGATTTCTGAAGTTTACAAAAGTTTGTTTACATTAATGCAACAGGACCGACAGCCTGGCCAGCCCTGCTCTGCACCCCTGGAAGGGACAGAGCTAAAGGGTTGTGTCTGGGGCTAGGCAGCCTTCATCGCCATCTAGAGACTACTGTAGCTCCTCTAGGCAGCCCTTAGTGCTGACTGGAGAGCGCTGCATGATGTTCCAGCAGCAATTTAAACGGCCTGGGGATCCAACTGCCACTACTGCAGTAACTCCCTTTGATCTCTCTCTCTCTCTCTCTCTCTCTCTCTCTCAACACCATCCTTGCCACCATGGATGTAGAAGCTCTATACACCAACATCCCACATGAAGACGGATTACAAGCAATTAGAAACACTATCCCAGAGGACACCACTGCCAACCTGATAGCAGACCTATGTAACTTTGTTCTCACCCACAATTATTTCCAGTTTGAGAACAACTTATACCTCCAGATCAGCGGTACAGCCATGGGTACACGCATGGCCCCACAGTACACTAAAATCTTTATGGCTGACCTAGAACAACGTTTCCTCAACTCCTGTCCCCTTTTACCACTTCTCTACTTACGCTACATCGATGACATCTTTATGATCTGGACGCATGGCCAAGAAACACTGGAGACATTCCACAGAGATTTCAACAACCTACACACCACCATCAACCTCGGCCTGGACCATTCTAAACAAGAGATCCATTTCCTGGACACCACAGTACAAATCAACAATGGAAAATTAGACATCACCCTCTACAGAAAACCCACCGACTCATACAGTTACCTACATG